GCATATATTATTTGTGTGCAATGTGTGTATGAGGTAGGTGTAGGTGACTAAGTAAGTAGGTGTAAGCAGGGAGGCGGACCTGGATGTGATGCAGGCATTGTCCAATACATCACATTAGAGATTGAGAATGTGGTGATATTTGGTACCATCAATAGTAGACGCCATGGGAACCTCCCACCTCCACTAGATCACCATAAATAGACAGGTTTCCTGTTACAGGAGATTCAGGGACCCAAATCCCTTGAAATGTAGGTAACCAATCACACATGTATTTTCTCTAAACCCTACAGCTACACAAGTGCTGGTTGTAGTGGTTATGGTGCCAGGAATGCCCTGCCGCACCCCATTGTAAGGTTGAGCTCAGTGGAGCAAATGGAAGGTCCTGCTTCGGAGATTGTAGTGAAGTTGGGGAGAGACGCCCGGTAGACTACAAATACGATGCCAAACAGTTCAAAAACACTCCTTACAATGGGGGGACTCCTGTCATCACAGCGAGCTGTAGTGATTATGGTGCTTGTAGTGTTCCTTTAACTAACGAGCTTTGGGGAGAATTTATGATTCATAAAGTTATTTACCTACTATTTAGTGATTTCCTAAATGTGGGAAGGGTAATGGTCCTTGAAGATTGTAATCTTAGTAAGTATCAATATTGCAAGTGATCTCTCCTTGTTAATAATTAAACATATCACTAAAATGATTAGGTAATTATACAGTATTATAACGTAAGGTACATAAACCATTATGAATCATAGCAATGATAGATTTCGGTAAAACCCAGTTGTCTGAAATCAAAGGGTAACTTTAAAATAGAACAACAGGACTGCTACAACATCAAATATTCAGCATCTGGCTGAACCTTCTATAATAACTTTAAAAAACAGGTTCTACCAGAAACACACTCTTCCATTATTCATTAGTTAAAGAAACATCAATGCCATAATTCGAGCTCAATTTATATAAAGGATTATTCACAGAAAAACAAATAAATATGTGACAGTCATCAGAAATGCCTGTGTGTAACTTGTATTGTCCCGGAACGTCTACAGCCGGGAACTACCATAAGGTTATTCTTATATTTTCATTATTTTGATTTTATTTTGATTTTTTTACTTTAAATTAAAGCGCTGTGTTCTGATTGGAGGAAAACACTATGACTATGAATACAGCTTTCATTTTAACTTGGTCAGTAAGTTTTCCAACAAGGGTCTTTCATTCTGTTGCATTTTTATAAAATACAGGACTTCTTACAGCCGTAAAAATTACACTTCCAGACTCTGGCGGCAGGAAGCACATCTGACGGATGCAGTATGTCTATTGATATGTCTACACAGAAAAAAGCTAGCAAAACAAAAAATAGCTAGCCTAGCGTTGTGTAAGCAAGCTGCCACAATTAGTAACCTATAGAAAATACAGATAAAGGAGCAGCACGGAACCACAAAAAAGTAACCTATAGAAAATTATGTAGCAATAATTTCTAATTTCTACATTCTTTATTTTTTTCATTGTATTTGCTTTACATGTTATTTTTACTTGCTTACTATTAAGTTACTTTTATGTATATATTGTGCTAACAAAATTGATAGCAAATGTATAGATGTTTTATTAAATGTAAAAAGATACATTAGTCACTTATTGAGTGATGTGGAAGAGCAGCAGAACTTTTTCTACAAGTGCTTCTCTTGCTCTGAGTCACAGCAACTACATTGTCTTGTCCTTTTACAGAGGAATATTGGACTGAAGTAACTGAGATATTACATTTTTCTAGAGGAGGTGCTATCTACTTGGGAAAATGACTCTAAGCAGAGCCAATTAGGTAGAAGTGCAGCATGTAGGCTACAGATGTGCCTTAGGTGTTAGATAGAAGGCAAGTAATATATTTAATTGCATTAAGATTTTATAAAGCAAGGATATATATAATTTATCAATACAATAAATTATATATTCACTGCTTTAGGAGACTTTGCGTGACCCTGCCATAAAAGAAATAGATGTGATGGTTTGTACAGATTTCCAAAATCATGTTCACTGATCTATTCATGAACATTTCTGGATAGGCTTAAAGGGACACTGTAGGCACCCATACCACTTCAGCTCATTGAAGTGGTCTGGGTGCTGACTCCCATCACCCTTAACCCTGCAGTGGTAATAATTGCAGTTTTTATAAACTGCAATAATTACCTCTCTACTAGACAGCCACTAGAGGGACTTCGGAATCCAAACTGACTTTTGGTCCGTTATCTGACACTGGACCTCCTCACGCTCTGCATGATGACCTCTAGCATCAGATTTTGCCCATAGGAAAGCATTGAATAATGCTTTCCTATGGGGATATCCTAATGTAAGCGCGGCCATTGCCGCGAATGCACATTAGGTCTCCTCCGCCAGCGGACATCGGCGGGGGAGGGCCTTGACAGAAGGGGAAGCTATAGTGCCAGTATGAGAGTTGTTCTGAAAGTAATGCCTGCTTGCTATTTGCTTTAAAACTATTAACTCAAATGTGATGTCTTTACACCACCACAGTAACCCTCCTTCAAGACTGAAAGATTTTTTGTAACTCTAGGTTTAGCACAACCATGGATGTTAAGCAGAAACAAGTAGCTGTCATTGAGTTCTTTGACAAAAGAAGGCTGTTCTTACAGTGGTGTCTCTAGGATTCATTTTTTGGGGGTGCACATGGAGGGCCAGGGACAAAAGTAGGGGGGCACATTTAACCCCGCCCTCGCCGCAGTTTGACCCCGCCCCTGCTGCATGTTAAGCCCCGCCCCGACACAATGTGTTTTGTTTTTTTAATAATCCCTGGTGGAGGATTCATCATTTTCCACCATCGATTATTAAAAAACAAACACATTACCCTTGATACAGTGCCATAGTTGCCAACATTTGGAAAAAAATTCCAAGGACATTTTGCAGCACAGCTATCAATTACTGTCTGGGTATAATATCCCTGGACAGTCAGTGCTCTCTGTATAATACAGGATTGTGTGTATAATAAATTGTGACAGTCAGTGCTCCTTGTATAGTGCTGCTCTCTGTATAATACAGGTCTGTTTGTGTATAATACCCCAAGGCACTATACAGGGAGCACTGACTGTCCCAGGATATTATACAGGCACAGGCCTGTATTATACAGAGAGCAGCACTATACAGGAAGCACTGACTATCCCGGGATATTATATACACACAGATCTGTATTATACAGATAGCTGAGCATATACCCCATGTCCCAATCTCTAGACTACTAGTACCTGTCAACAGCAGCTCCCAGATGCGTGTAACAGGGCTAAAGTGTGCGGCAGCTCACACAGATGATTCAGCGGTAGAGTGCACTCGCTGGCAGAGCCAAACTGGGAATCCCTGGGAATCCAAAGCAGTCCTGCAAAAAAATGTATGCCATTCCTACAAGTCAATATAAATATATATATATATATATAGATATAGATATATATATATATATATAGTACAGTAAGCACACAAGCTCACTGACATGCGCAAATAGTCTTACTGACAGACAAAACTCTCTCACACACAAGCTTACTACAGACACTCACTTGTATAAACAGAAGGCTCACTACAAAGAAAGTTCAGGGACACACAAAAGCTCACTAAAGACAAGCTCACTGACACACACATTCTCACTAAATAGAAGTTCACTGACACACACAAGCAGTACCATTTTAACAGAGTTAAGGGCCCCCGGGCAAAGCAATGCACTGGGGCCCTTCCTACACAACAACTCACAGGAATTTTAATTATTGATAGACTGCTGAGTCCATACAGACACACACAGACTGCTGAGTCCATACACACACACAGACTGCTGAGTCCATACACACACACTGACTGCTGAGTCCATACACACACACAGACTGCTGAGTCCATACACACACACACACACACACACCACACACACACACACACACACACACACACACAGACACACTGCTGAGTCCACACACACACACACAGACTGCTGAGTCCATACACACACAGACACACAGCCTGCTGAGTCCTTACACAAACAGACTGCTGAGTCCATACACACAGACTGCTGAGTCCATACATACACACACACACACACACACACACAGAGACTGCTGAGTCCATATACACACACACATACACAGACTGCTGAGTCCATACACACACACACAAACACACAGACTGCTGAGTCCATACACACACACTGCTGAGTCCATGCACACATACACACACAGACTGCTATGTCCATACACACACACAGACTGCTGAGTCCATGCACACACACACACACACCAAGCCTACCTGTCACTGGAGGCTGTTGCTGGGGGTCAGACAGCCATCTTCTGCAGCAGCATGGTCTGCTGCTTTACGGCGGGTGCGGGGCTTATGTGCGGGAGGCGGGGCTTGGTTTGGGGGCAGGGCCTGTGCCGGTGAGCCTGTCAGTACTTTCTACGGCCCCAGCATCTCTGCACAAACAGCACCCAGCACCTCTGGCCAGACTGCCCTGCATTCTCTCGGGCTGTAACAGACACACACACTGTTACAGTCTGAGGGAATAGAATTTAAGCACATGGCCAGAAAGTTGCTGGCATTTGGGGGGGCACAGCATGATGTAGGGGGAGCCATGGCCCCCCCCCCCCAGCGACACCATTGCTGTTCTACTGCCGACATCCAGCAAAGGCTCAGCAATGTGGATGGTGAGGTAACAACTGATGTGAGCAATGTGCGAAGATGGGTGAAAAAGTTTAAAGAAGGCAAAACCAGTGTTGAAGACAAACTATGCTGTGGAAGGCAATCGACAGCAGTTAAAAAAACAAAACACGGTGGAAAACTTGATTCACACAAATTGGCTTGATTTCCTCACTCGTTGGACAACAATGAATAGCGTTCACTACATTGCATTACTCTGGAAACTTAAAAAAAAAAAGTCAGTCACACCACGAAAACACACAAGCTCACTTTTCTTTGCCAATGTCGCAGGTTCTTGCGAAAATGGAATGGTCAGTGGTGCCACATCCAACTTACAGCCCCGATCTCGCACCCTTAAACTTCCACTTGTTCGGTCAAATAAAGGAAAGTCTTTGGGGCGATGCTTAGATGATGCAGGTGAAGTGAATGACGCTGGGTGAAGGAGTGCCCTAAAGACTTTTTCCAAAGTGGCTTTGACAAGTGGGTTCAACAGTGGTGCAAATGCATCATCACTAGAAGAGATTATTTTGAATAGTGCCATGTTGAAAAAGAGTTACTGTACACATGCAGTTCCACATGTGTCTTGTTTAAAAACGGATGACCTGTACAGTACAACCCTTTAGTTTAGTGAAGGTCACACAGACAGGGAGATTTAGATTAATCAGAAATAAATTAGTTCATTGAAATTATTGAACAAAATTCCCACTTACACGTAATTAACAAACATTTTTCAATTCTTTGCAGTGATAGCCCCAGGTGTGTCATTTTAATTCCAATTTAATATAGACTTTCTTCCATTCTTTGTAATCAACTGAATAACTGCAAATCATTTGTATGTTTAACCCCTTAAGGACACATGACATGTGTGACATGTCATGATTCCCTTTTATTCCAGAAGTTTGGTCCTTAAGGGGTTAAGTGACATATCTATGCCAACTTAAGCCTTAAATTATCCACTGGTAAAATAACACAATAAGTTCTACATTTATTTTATTTAAATTCCCTGTGCAGCATGCTGCTTTTATAGCCCACGCATAGTTTGTTTTGTGACAATGTAATGAATCAGCATTAACGAAATTTCATATATATTAAACATTTAGAATGTGAACAATACATGCTTAAGTCTGCATTGCTCACACAATATTATACTACCCTTTTTAAATCTGTGTATGGGGAACATGGAATCTAATCCGAACTTCAGAAATCTTTGTAGGGAAGGTTGAAAGTGGTAAATTGACCTTAATACCCCATACCTCTCCCGCTAAGACATCCAGGGGACTACCCATTTAGCTCAACCAGTTTTATGGTGCACAACACTGGCTAGACACAGATGATGTCATAAAATGTCAACGGATAGATTACCCTGATTATACCTTTAATGGTAGTGCTGATAGTAGCACAGATATTTATTAGCTCAAGGGATTATATATGATAGCATACATGCTGGAGGTGTCCACCCCTGCTATATGAACATTTTCTGAAAGGATATGCTAATTCATAATTGTTTCAGAAAACTAATTTTGTATATGAAATGAGATATATACAACTACAGAAAGATAAGATGCATTTCACAAATTCCATTACATACAGTCTCCCTGAGCACCCTTGCCAATTAATAATAATGTCCCGAGTTGGTATGATAATGAATTACAAATTTGAGCTTTACCATACCAGTCCAGCTCAGACTGGACGGGTACACCCTTCGGTCAGTGCTAGTGGACTCTTGGAACCACAGGCACTACAGTGTGCTGTAGGTGTTATGGTGCTAAGCATATATCTTTAAATTATATGCAAAGTCCATATAACAGAATCTCAGAAATATGTTTCACTCTATGGTTCATGTGTAAAAGTAAAGTGAAAACCCCCAGAAAATTATAAAAATTACACCACAGAGAGAAAAGAATTACACTTCTCGAATAATGTTCCAAAGGACTTCTCTCTCTAATTCCTTTGTGAAAGCTAAAAACTATTTATTTGGAGCAAAAAAAGCTAAATCTCTCTTTCTCTCTTTTTCTCTCTCTCTCCTTTTCTTATCATCATTCATGTAGTTGAGCACCAACATATTCCACAGAATTTTACAATTAAAGTCATGGGATATTTAGATGTGTAGAAGGCCCTTCTCAAGATCATAATCTATGAGGATTTTAAAGTAGGTAGATATATATCATTAGGTTTCCTGCCCGAGGACACTTACTGATGATGTCTAATTGGGATTCAACCCTTGGTTACCTAGTTCTAAGGTATTGACATTATATCACTGCTCTAACCACTTTGAATTCTTAAGGAGCCAAATGTTTTAAGAATGCACACATTGTATTGTGGAGAGAAGATCTAGCCTATCACATGTGGCGAAACTGACCTCGCCACGTGTCCTTGGAGGGGGCTGCTTGCCCGCCTCTTGCCTTTGGACTATGGACCAGACTTTATGTGAATGTGTTAACCCAGATAGCTATGCCATGGAGCCCATTCGTGTAGTTAAAGACTTCGGCTCCATGGCAATTGAACTGTGTGAATAAGATCTGAGCGCTATTCGGTAGTTTTGTGCGCTCAGACCCCAGCTATCTGGGGATATGTGAAATGTCTGTGTATTATGTGTAAAAGGTGTCTTTATGTATTTTAAAGTGTTTTATGTCTTTTTGCAACCATGTGCTCAATGGAGTCTGCCTCTATCCCTGGATAACTGGATTACTTTCCCCCATTGTCTCCAGGATAGAGGGCTCTGTAAAACCTGTTTGAGCCAGATATCCATGTGCCAGCCAGGGCCCAAAAGATACTTTTACTAACTTTTGAACCCCTGTTCGGATTCATGCCATTTTTTAATATGTTGTTCCCTTGAATGGATTGATTGTGAATATGTAATTTTATGTGAATGTGATGTATTGTTTTAAAGTTATGAAAGTTGGGTAGAAAGTATGTTTTAACTGTATGTGTAATTGAGTTTCTTCTCAGGATAAGGGGAGGGAATATGTGGGATGTAACTGATATGTGATTGGTTGTTTTATACCTCCCTGTGGGCGGTCCTGTATGTGAAAGGCTGTAATAAAAACCAGGCTGGGTGTGCCAGCACAGGAGTTCCTGTTTAACCCTCAAAGTGAAGTGTTGTCTCATTATTGGGGGAAGGATTTATTGTATGCTGTTCCAGTTTGACTGCTAGGAGGGTAAACCTATTCGTATGGTTTCCTATTCAACTATCTACAGCATTCATATGCTTGGGAGAATTTATTTGTTTCTCCGGTTCGGTGATTGTGGTGTCTGCCAGAGTGCTTGGAGTCCTCAGGAAGCGCTAGGAGCATCCTTCAACGGAGGTACCCAGTCGGGGTGCCAGGTGATCTGTTACATCACACAATTACAATTGTGACATTATAAAAAAATGAATGAGATTTCAAACACGATTCGATTTCAAAAACATTGGAGACCACATCCAACTTATTGGCATCCAGATGGACAATGACAGACATATATCTATTGAAAAGTTTTTATATGAAACCATTTAGGAAATATAGATCAGTAACGATTCTGATCCAAAGTGTATAACTAACACTAATTGTAGGTGGTATAGAAGTTAAGAGTGAAAGAAGGACAAAAAATATTTTGCAGCATTAAAAACCACATAGACCAAGTGTGGAAAAAGAAAGTCACAATGCACTGAGATAGTGTATTAAAATATATAGATGAGAGAGGTAAAATCATAAAAAAAACAACTGGATCCCATGTGGCAATATTTTTTGGAGCTCATCAAAGTATCTTCTCATTTGGCTACAGATTATGAGCAGTTACTTAGCAAAAATACAGAAAATACAGATTGTTAAAAGCAATATATTCAAAGAGAAAATGTCTCTGTTACAAAATCCACAGTGCCATAATATTAACCCGAGTAAAGGTGTTTTTGAAGACTACAGAAATTTCCATGTGGACATCAAGTTCTAAGAAGTCGGTTCCATTAGCTTAAGCTATGTTTGTATAGATGACATCCGTCTTATTTCAGCTTGTGTTGCAGCAACAAAGTAAAGTATCATGTTATAACAAAAAAAAAAAGTTTTATAAATGTCACAGGTGATTTGTTGGAGAGTTTTTGACAACTACAAATAACTGGGCGCCTGTTTAAACTGAATGGATTTTCCATCAATTAGTCATCCTTCACATGGGCCACGTTGATGTAATTCAGCCTCATGAGGACTAATGCAAGCTGTTTTAATATCTATGACATAATTATTTTCCTATTAATTATTACACACTATTTGTGACATTGCGCTACTAATAAAACCAATTATTTGGTTATTTATCTTCCACAAATACAGTCATATGACCTAATTTAATCAACAATTGTTATTTTTCTTCTTCTTCATTTATATAACTGGCTGTTTGAAAACCTAACCTATCCAGGTGGCTAACACTGGGGCATGGTAAGGTAACATTGGTTCTTGTCTATTAAAAACTCTTGCCACTTGCTACTCTGTGTTCATTCAGCAGATTTTTTCCACCCTGTCACTGTGTTACAAATATAATGGAAAGCAGTTTAATAGAACATCCAAGACATTTAGCCTGTTAACACAAACATATACGCTACCATTAAGTTCAGAATATTTTTTTTCTAATTTAGCATTTATTGAAAAGGTGCGTTATGCAATAATATAGTATAATAAAAACTGATGCACATAAATTATGTATGTAAACGAAAAATAACAGTTACAGTAACAATACGGATATATCAAACCATACAGTATTCAAATGTCTTATATTTTTTAATACCAGTATATGAAGTAGCTGAAAAGTACCACTAAAAGTTTCATATGATTTGGGAAACACAAGTTGACCTCTAGAGCTCTTTTTGTATTAAAAGGCTGTAGGAAGGTTATGGTACCTAAATCCACACAAAAGTCAAGCTAAGGGAAATTTAAGAAAGAAGGAAGAAAACACATTTTTGTGCTGTTTGCGATCTAGCAATTTTTGTATTGTATTATCGCACAATAAAATATCTTATATACATTGATAGTAATAGAGTACCACATTAAAAATGGATCACAAAATTGTTTAACCCCTTAAGGACACACAACATGTTTGACATGTCATGATTCCCTTTTATTCCAGAAGTTTGGTCCTTAAGGGGTTAATGGAAAGGACAGTGACAGCACATTGGAGAATTGAAGAATTGTCACCTGCCAGGAGAATGTATCTACCACTGAACTTCATTTCTACTTAGAACTCTAGCAAGGGAGAACGTGATTTGTGGATTTCGACCATCCCTAGGTAAAACCTGGGACAACATGGTAAATCATCGCAACATTGGAAATGATATAAATCGGGATGTGTGCACTTTCTATTCATTGTTTTCAGGATTTCAAAACACAAACTCCCAATAGACCACGCTTTTACGTTGGTGGCTTTCGCCACATCTGGCAAAATTGTAATTCCAAACACTTTAGAAAATAATGCTGTTATTTTAAAAAATGTAAATGATAAAAATATACAAAAAATGTGATCAGAAATATTTACTGCCATGCTTCCAGAAACACCACATGGATCACCAAACACAATTATCAG